GTATGAGTCCTATAGGAGATAGTTAGCAAATCTTAACATGTTACCTTCAGCACTGTAATCCTGCTTCAGTGTCAATTTGGAGGATATATGAGACACCCACTGGGTGTGAAATACTTTTTCCACTGAAGTCAGTGGTAAAACTCCCATTGACTTCAGTGGAGCCAGATTTTCACACCAACAGTTTGGCTATGTTTAAAATAAACATAGTGCAGAGGGCTTGATATAGCTAGAGTAAAGAATGCAGGAACTCCCACAAAGTCTGTGGGAGTTTTGCCTGAATAAAGAATGCATAATTAGTCCCATTGTCTCAGTGGGTGGAACAGACTTTTTCTCCTAGTTAGGGAGACTGCGTTACTTACAGACAGATCAGCCAATTGGTAAGTCGGTTAAAATGAATGAAAATAAAACCTGCATTTCTCCCTAGGAGATAATGTGTGTTTTTATAACAACAATGATTTTTAAAATAATTCTCTAGTTTTTTATTTTCATATTCACGTGCTGCTGCTTTTTTTACAGGGATGCTTTAATTTTGAGATGGTGGGTTTGTGCATTGTGTTCTCATGTACTGCTCTGTGTGACCTAGAAATGCTAGCTGTTAGTGCAGTGTAAACTAAAAGACATGTTGAACATATTTATATCTCACCTTTTGGATGCCATCAAGCCTTTGGTAGGAAAAGTAATCTAGTGTGCAATACTTTCACATTCCACACACGTTATATAAACATACATAGTCTCTTTTCACTAACAAAGTACTAGAATGCAATGGTGAATCTGAAGATGAAACTACTGAATCATTCTGTAGTATGGAGAAGGATACTGGTTGAGAGCATTCATGTACTAAAAGAAATGTGACCCCTTCTTTATCTTCCTTTTTATCATCTATTTAACTTCATCAAACAAAAAACCCACTTCTCTTTTTTTTTGTATTCCCTTCTTGTGTCTGAACCCGGCCCTTGTTATGCCTGCATTTCATGATGCCTGGCTGAATCAGTGCTTCTGAGACAGTTTTAGGAGGTGTTCCTTAGATTTGACCTTTCCAGTGATACTGTTGCACTATGAACAGCACAGTAGAACTAACTTCACACACACACACACACACACACACACACACACACACACACACACACACACACACACACACACACACACACACACACACACACACACACACACACACACTACT